CGTTCCGGACGCGGATGGATAAAGTGAATTTTTTTGCTTTTCGTATTTGGTACTTTCGTTCATAAATTCAGCTGTTTGTATGCTAACAAAGAAATAGGGAATCCTCCATAGCCAAGGACTTACAAGATGCAAATTCCCTTTTCCTCACCTTATTTAAGAGGCAATTAATAAGTACGGCGAACACACGGTAATTTGAAGTTCCTTGACGTTGTAATGAGCTCGGTTTACAGTTTAGAAAGGCTGTCTAAAGATATCTTGACTTCCCATATATTCAAAGCTGCTTTAGTATTTGAAGTATTATTTGAGAATTACCGCCATAGTTTTGAGCATCGAAATAATTATGTGAATAGGCTATTTTACAGAAGTATATACCATTTTACAATTGTGTACTGAGCATCCAAGCCTTGAGTGGAAGCGAGGCTAGGGGTGGTCGTATGCATATGGCACGCCGATTTCTATCACAAGAGAGTCACGATCAGGCTAGGTTGCTCAGAAAACGACTAAAAATTAGCCTACTGTTTTATGTTAGTCCTACAGGCATGAAGAGTGGAAAGGGAACCGGTAGAGGATAGGGATTGAACGAGGTACTAGGCCGGACTTTGTAGTATTTTTCTGCGATTACTGCAGTGACAAACACAGCTGCATTATTTTTGGTTCAGTTAAGGTCGTGCAAAGGTCATCGTCTAGTTTTAAAAACTTTGATCGGGCGCTTACACGTAAAAGAAACACGTTGGTCATCTGCTTTTACACTTTGCAAAGGTGAATGTCACAACAATTACCATTAAAGAGTTATGGAGATAGTGCATGCTTTGTAGAGTGCTGTTTATTCTCATTCTCCGTCCCTAACACGTCTATAACACCAGAGGGTACAATTTTAATTTTTACAATTTTTCAAACATTGATTCCTACTTCATCTGATTTTCTCAACACATTTTTGGCAGTAACTTCTGGACTTTTGGAAGTGAAGGGCAACCAATTGCTAGGAAATATATCTGAGCTATTTCCTCGGCAGTACTCCCCGGACATCCTTGTGATGGGTGAAGTTTTCCAGATAAAACCCTAAACCATAATGTTTTAATATTTCACCAACTAGTTATCGACCCATTTTCAGACGAGACCAGGCGATTTCATTAACCAGTATTTTGAGACAGAAGCCTTAACTTGACGACCATTTTAAAACATTTACAATCCGCGCATTGCTCGCATGTTTGTGGTTATGATTACAAACACGGAGGGCAAATGAGGTTCGATTGCAGGCTTAGAAAAGCAATTGCCGTGAGAAATCATTGAGAAGTTTCTGCGATTTATACAAATTTTCCCTGTGTGAAGTAATCCAAGAGAGTCTTGGATTCTGGATTACACGCTGTGGATTCCGAATTCTTGTCAGTGTAACTTGAATTCCAGATTCCAATCGTTAGCGCTATTCCGGATTCTTTGAGTTGAATTCCGGATTCCAAAGTCCACAAGCAACAATTTCCCGAATTTGGATTCCGGAATACGTTACATGGAGCGACCAAGTGCAGGGACAATACAGCCCAGAAAAAATCTATCTGTGAGACACTCGAAGACACTTCATCCCCACTGGCAAACAGTTTTGCTCAGGAATTCTGAAGACTGTTGGTCTGCACGGACGTAGTCTTTAAAACCCTCTTTATACCGAGGAAGAGATGTGGAATGGATGGATGAAGGGAAAAACGTACACAATGAAGAACATTTCAAGTTAACAGCGTATTATGGTATTTCGTTACGTCATTTAAGACCCCATATTTGATCAAAAAACCATTAAATCAGATATCTTACGAGTTCATTTGTATGCATTTAATCTGTTTTCAATTGCGCGCGTTACTTTAACACCGGCAATCCAAAGAATTCTTCATCAAGGACTCATTGTTATCATAGGCCATCCAGCGCATATTCCATTATGTCGCTCGGATTACCCATGACAAACTTGCAGAGGCGTTAATGCAGTTAGTTAAGTTTCCTTGGCCTGGAGTCTATGCTACACCAGCATCCTTGATTAGGGCAACAAATGATGTAATGCTCGATATATCGCTTTCCCATATACCCGCAGCGTGCGAAACCATAATTTTTGTCACACACATTGTCACTGCTGGTGGACATTGAAACTTTCCGGAGGAAAAGTGTCTTGTTCCGCACCGGGTGCTGGGTTTGTTCCTTGGGACGTTTTTGGTTGGGAAGTCCCACCGGATAACATTGTTTCCCGCGGAGATTGCTGAAGAATTCCCCCCGCAGCATTGGCACTGCTTGGTTGTTTGGGTTGTCTGGCACCGAATATTGTACTGCCTACTCGCACATTTGTACTTCCCATTAAAATCTGTAAGACATTAAAAATGGTTTCTTTTTAAGGTACATTAAAACGGCCAACAAAAATGTGCAACTTGTTTTGCACCATTGCTGCACTAAGGCAAAACGAGCTGAAGAGCGATGTTGCGCGTTTTACCACCCACGAATCAAACCTGTCTTGCAACAAATCAGTTTATTGTAGGCTGCGAGAAGTTTTTGCAGAATGTAGAAGGTGGTTCTACTTTTTGGAACAAAATCTGTACATGTCGTGCGTTTTACCGGCACAAGGCAAACTTGTTTTGCAGCAAGTGACGTGAATGGNACTGCTTGGTTGTTTGGGTTGTCTGGCACCGAATATTGTACTGCCTACTCGCACATTTGTACTTCCCATTAAAATCTGTAAGACATTAAAAATGGTTTCTTTTTAAGGTACATTAAAACGGCCAACAAAAAGGTGCAACTTGTTTTGCACCATTGCTGCACTAAGGCAAAACGAGCTGAAGAGCGATGTTGCGCGTTTTACCACCCACGAATCAAACCTGTCTTGCAACAAATCAGTTTATTGTAGGCTGCGAGAAGTTTTTGCAGAATGTAGAAGGTGGTTCTACTTTTTGGAACAAAATCTGTACATGTCGTGCGTTTTACCGGCACAAGGCAAACTTGTTTTGCAGCAAGTGACGTGAATGGCGTAAGTCCCGCGTAATTTTAGTTTCAAAGCAAGACCTTAAGTTGAGGCTTCAGATAATACCTTGAAGAAAGACCTAAGGAAGGAACGTGTTTGGGCCAGGCGGGACTTCCGACAACTGGTACAAAGATCAATAAATCAATGATAATCCATGGTCAGGCGTCCCCAATCTGTGTTTTATAATCTAGATACCCTTGAATGCAGGGCAGAGTTTCTTTGAGCATTATGTATATTTTAGTTGCGGGTGTGGCACTATGGTGTTTACAGCAACACGGAAATCAAATACTACAACATCAGCTAGTTGTACCAACCATGGATAAGAGTGCTCACCGCTTTGTCAAAATCACTTGACATTCCCATACTCAGCTCCACATCTTCCTCACTGAGGCCTAGTCGTTCACAAACATCTTTCCTGCACTGCACTAAGCACTACAAAAAAACAACAAGACAAACAAAACAGAGTTAGTTAGACATAAGTAACAGCAATTACCATTTCCTTCCCTGCCGCGTGCCACGGACAGTCACCCTAACAGGAAGTTCAGATATCTGGTCATGTGAAGATTCATCTTTTGAATTTCTGCTACAGCAAAACCGGCCAATATATAGTATTTACTGCATTTACTATCTCAGCACACAAAAAAATTTCTTGTGTAAGGAAACAACATGACAGCAAGGCTCGAACCAGAGGCCTGTTTCTCAAAAGTCCAGATACTTAACGGGCCCGGAAAGCTGCTGTTGATTACATCCACGAGAAAGCTTTCAATGGTTGTTCAAATAACATGATAAAACAACCAGCTAACATAACAGAATTGAATGGTTTGTCGGCTAAGATCCGCACTTTCAGTTCTTTACAATGTGTAGTTCCAGAAAATATTCCATACCTCCCGACGGAGGGCACTTTTATTTTACACCTCCCACCACCCTGAAATTTCCATTCCAGGGGTGCTTGTCATATCCCCCCAACTCCTGGAATTTCCGTAATTTTCCAACTTGGTTTGGTACCCGCTGGAAAGAATATTTCCCTCAAAAATGCCGTTGCACCATACTTTTATGCAAAAGATGATTGTTTCTACGATAAAGCGTGAAAAATAATTTATTTATATAAAAAAAGTGTCAAATAATCTCAATTTTCTCTTGTAGAGGTTTTTGTTAGTTAATTATTTTACGGTAAGTCACTTAGGTCAATGGAGGCAGTACGGACGTACACGACACAAATGATGCCATCTCACAAAGCAGTGAACTTCGATTACTTCTTTTCAGTTAAAAACATGTAAGATGTTAGAAGAAGGTTTATTAGAACATGACCACAGTGTAGTGAATATCCAGCCTCTTCTTCAGGCGCTTAGTTTTTGTACGGTAGAGGCGAGCGACTGGTGATGAACTGAAAGGGAGAGAGAGACGTCTGGAATACCACAATATATTGTATAACAAAGCAACAGATAGATAACCAAGTTTATTAAGGAGCGAACGACAATCGTGTTACATAAACTAACGTCCAAGCCATGAAAAAGCACTCAGCTGACCGTAAATAAAGGATCATATGAAAACAAAAGTTTTTGCTTTGAAACACCGATAAACAGTAAAGTAACTGATAGCGTGCTCAAGAGAACAGCTGTTAGTTTTAGATAACTCACCAATCTTACTCGGAGCCCTCAGAAAAAAGACCTCGAGAGGCCACCCCCATCCCCTCGGAAATTGCCTCATTTTGGACCCCTCCTTCCCTCCGAATTTCCGTTTCCCCCCGTGGGGGGTGGGGAGTATGGATATTTTCTGGAACTACACATTTTGATTTTAAAAGTATTTGATTTCGGGCTAGAATAGTTACCGGGACATTCAAGAAGCGGACTCCAGGACCTAAAGATTGAACATTTAAGGTGTAAATGCCTTCACAATAAAATAAGCAAATCCTTACTCACAATGAAGTCAGGATTGCCCCCTTGACTCCAGTCATAGTTCATTTCACCAATTGTCATTAATCCGCTTGACCTAAAGATTGAACATTTAAGGTGTAAATGCCTTCACAATAAAATAAGCAAATCCTTACTCACAATGAAGTCAGGATTGCCCCCTTGACTCCAGTCATAGTTCATTTCACCAATTGTCATTAATCCGCTGAATTTCAAATGTGGACAGTGATTGATGACATGTTGAACAAGTTCCACACAGTGATCGCTTGAACAGCCATGTTTACCTATCAAAATATTATTAGGGTAAGTACAGTGTTCTTACCAGGATTTTCCACCTTGGGGTCCACACGACCCATGGAGATGATTAAGGGGGTCATGAGGGAGAAAAGCGGGTCACAATTTTTAGATACAGTTGACTCAACTTTTACCTCACAGTTATGAGTTAGAGTAAATACCTCGTACTTTCTTAGATAATAAAATATCCAATTTTTACATACAGTTAACTCAACGTTATACAGCTCTGAGTTAGAGTAAAGACGCCATAACCAACTGACTGTTGGCTTATAAGGAAATGTACGTGTGTTTACGTACGTTTATGTACGTTTTGTTTATGTACGATTTTTTTTTCCTGTTTGCGCCCTTGTGACCCCTTGGGCGTGCGGCATTCCCTGTAAAAGTGCGCAAATGCCGCAATGCCGCGGTGTGGTAAGAACACTGTAAGTATAACTATTGATAACAACAACAAAGAACAAGCTTGAACAAAAAGTGTTAAGAATTTGGCCCTTTCTTACCCTCAGGACAACAACCATGCAGATTTGGTACCAAAGTAACCCCCTCCCCCCACCCCACCCTGACCAAAATAGTTCACTCGGGCACAAAAACAATCTGGCTGGACTTCATCATTGTTTTTTGGGGGAAAGGGTGGGTGGGGGGCGGGGGAATTATGTTTAATCAATAGTGCTTTAATACTGGTGTTGATATTGCGCTGTCAGTGCTCTCATTTACACCATGGGAAGAGAAGCAGAACACGTGTACAAGTCTTTTACCTTAGCTGATAGAGATGATGCAAATTCGACGTGATTTTAGCAAAGTTTGATGAGCATTGGGTTCCGAAACAGAACATAATTCACGAGCGGGCACGTTTTTATCAAAGGACCCAAAAGCAAGGAGAGACAGTCGAATCGTTCGTACGAAGTCTTTACGAATTAGCCGAACACTGCGATTTTGGCGACAGTCGTGATCAGCAAATACGGGACAGAATTGTCATTGAAATTCTGGATGAAGATGTGTCGCAGAAATTGCAGTTAAAGTCGGATTTAACGCTGGAAGTCGTGATTCAGATAGCTCACCAGTCAGAAACGGTCAAGTATCAGCGAGGTTACAGATCAGAATTCCCTTGCATCAAAGGATGTAGAAGAGGTGCACGGTAAGACGAAACCGACTAATCCACGTTGGAAAAAGGGAAAAGGAAAGAAAGAGGATCCATCCCAAAAGCAAGGTCAGAAGAACTGTGGTAGGTGCGGTCTTCATCACTCAAAGCCTGAACACTGTTTAGCAAAAGATAAACGATGTTTGAAATGTCAAAGGTTGGGTCACTTTGCAGCCGTTTGTTGGTCCAGGTCTGTGAGCGAGGTGAATAGCGATCGTGGCAGTGCTTCAAATGATAGCAGTGTTGGTCGTTGGTTCTTAGGTGCGTTGTCAAGTGATTCAGACCAGGATGATAAATGGAAGCTCCAGCTTAAGGACCTGTTGTGTTCAAAATTGATACCGGTGCAGATATTACTGCCATTTCAAAATCTCCTGTTGATAGTTTGCCAAATCAGCCCAAGTTACTTCCATCTAAGATAGCCCTTTTCAGTCCAGGAGGCAAATTGCAGTGCGCTGGAAAGTTTACAACAGCAGTGACACACTGCAACAACAAATACCAACTCAATGTTTTTATAATCAGTGGAGAACATGCAAGTTACTTGCTGGGTCGACAAGCAGCTTGTGAAATGGGATGGGTTTAGTTGCGAGATTAGAGGAGGTGGATGCTGAGTTGTTTGGAGATACAGGTTTGTTTAAGTGTGAGCCAGTAAGGATCCAACTAGATGAGAATACCCCACCGTATTGCATCAACACAGCAAGAAAAATAGCTTTTCCTTTAATGCCAAAAGTAGAGCAGGAGCTTAAGAGGATGGAAGAAGCTGGTATCATCGAAAAAGTCGCAGAGTCGACAGAATGGTGTGCGCCCATGGTACCAGTACAGAAAAGTAATGGTAAGCTCAGGATCTGTGTCGATCTAAGAAGGCTGAACAGTGCAGTGAAGCGCCCAAGATTCGTAGGGCCTACCTTGGAAGATATCGCGTCCAAACTCGCTGGTGCCCGGTACTTTTCAAAACTTGATGCGTCTAGTGGATTTTGGTCGATCCCCCTACATCCAGATAGTGCAAAGTTGACACGTTTATGACTCCGTTTGTCCAGAAGCCCTTGTAAGTTAGAACAGGAACCCGACACAGCAGAAAACGTTCAGGCATTTGTAGACGTGGTTGAATCTACAAGGCCAGTCACAGGTGATCAGCTTAAGAGAATCAGAGAAAGATTTCCAGCTCCTAAAAGTGATGAAGTTCACATTAGAAGGGTGGCTAACACATGTGGAAGAAGTCCCCCTCCAGATACGAGAGTTCTTTGATTCTCGTGGACACTTGTCAATGAGCAATGGTTTATCAACATATGATGATAGCATAGTGATACCTGCAGACATGAGAGAGGAGATACTGGAGCGCATTCACACAGGTCACCAGGGTACAATAAAGTGCCGTCAACGTGATAACCTTTCCTTGTGGTGTCTGGGTATTTCTAAAGAGATCAAAGAACCATCACAAAGAAAGGAACCACTGATGACCACAGACCTACCTGACAGATCGTGGCAGGTGTCTACCGATTTGTTTGAGCTAGCCGGTCAGAAATACCTAGTAGTGATGGACCATTATTTAAGGTTCATCGAGATATTAAGCCTAGTTGAGACAACAAGCCAAGTTGTCATCCAGAAGCTGAAGTCAGTAGTTGCAAGATGGGGAATTCCGGAGGAACTAATAAGTGACAATGGTACACAGTTCAAGTCACTACAGTTTGATGAGTTCAAAACAAAGTATGGATTCAAGCACACTTCATCAAGCCCGCATCATCCGCAGGCAAATCGTGCTGCAGAAAGTGGCGTGCGAATCGATGAGCAGATTCTGAAACAGGAGGATCCATTCCTTGCTCTTATGGCCTATGGCGCAACCCCAATCCCAGCAACTGGAAAGACACCATCAGAGCTAATCATGGGAAGACTGATACTACTACCCTCCCAACCCTGAGAAAAGTTTTAGAGCCAAAACTTCCAAACCATACAGCACTCAAAAGAGCTGATGTCAAAGCCAAAAGGGGTTACAAGGAGTCCTTTGACAAAAGGAATGGCTAGAGAGAATTACCAAAGCTACAGCCGGGAGACTGGGTCAGAGCCAAACTGGAGAATGAGAAGCAGTGGACCACAGAAGCTGAGGTCGTCAGTGAAGACCAAAGTCCCAGGTCATACATCATAGACACTGGTGGTCGAAGGTTGCGAAGGAATCGTAGGCATCTTGGAAAGGTCCCTACACCCGCTCATCATGACACATCAGGGGACGAGTCCCCAATTCCGGATATCAATGGTGAGCCTACTCCCAAGCTTGTCCAGGTGGAGGATACCAACGTTCCTGAAAGCAGCAACACCAGCCCTTACAAAAGAGATCAGATCGCGATTCCAGAAAAGAGAACCTCAAGTGGTAGACTTGTTACGAAACCTATTCGTTAAAGAGAGGACATTTAGTAGAGTTGATTTTGTTAACTGTGAACTTTGAACATTGAACAGTCGTTCTTGTCTTTACCATAGGACAACTTATGCTTAGGGCTCTACTTTGTTAGATTTCAGAACATGCTTAAGCATCGTATTCAACCAGTTCATTTTGTTTTATCCTTTTTCTCAAAAAAAGGGAGATGTGTTGATATTGCGCTGTAATATTTCATGGTTGCTAAGTAACACTAAGGACATGCAAAGTATCTCTTTTCGCTTTACCATGTGCTCTTGCCAAATGGCTGACTTTGTACATCAAGTTTGTTTGTTCATAAATAAATCCTGTTGAGATTTCAAGACAATTGGGTTTATTACACATTCAACGTGCATTTTTTCTTAACATTTTTGTCCAAGATTGCAACACCGTTTAAGGACATCAACCAAGTAGATCCCATGTCATTTTGAATTAGAGATTTAATAGATGAACTCAAATAGCGGCAGCTGAAGATGCCTTCTTAACTGATGCCCAGTCTCACTGACAAACGCTCTCATTTATTAAGGCCTTGCTGAGTCTTCATTCATTCAATTCCCAAGATCTTGAATATCCAAATTGTAAAATTAATCATTGCCCTCAGTTAAGGATGTCACTTGTCAGATTCCTGAAGTTTGCTTCCCATGTTATTGTAAGTTTGATCTCTATTGAGCTTGATGTCACATGTCGTTCAGAATCATTACAGAGAGCTTGGGAACAGCCAGAATCGTTTGCTAAGTCTTAGGTGGCAGAGGTCATGGGCAGTGACTTAATGTCAAAGGAAGACTCAAGTAAACCATCCAGAAAATGTGATTAGCCAGCGATTTGTTTAATCACGAGTATGATTACAGACCGAATTGGACGACACGAAGTTCTCTTACCAATTAATCATAACTTTAACAAAATTTGTAACATAATAGGCTATTTTTTAAATCAAACACAAGAAATTCGAAATTTTGTTTTGCTAGCAGTGAAAAAAAAGCCATTTAAGCGCGCGCGCGATGGCGCGTACTGTCCAATTACTTAGGCATGACGCGTACTGTCCTATTAAACTGTCCAATTAAGGCTGAAATCAGGGCAGTTGATAGCCAATCAGATTTGACAATTTTGTTATAGTTATGATTCTAATAATAATAATAATAATAATAATAATAATAAGCAAGGCGCGAATATACTTCGTCTGTCAAAGTGACAAAGCCCCTTGTTGAACAAATTGTATCTCAGTCACAGCAGTTACCTGAAGATTCCCTCACAAAACCAACACAACAGGAAGTAAGAAGTGAAATACTAGAGGAACCCGAACACAGGGTAGAGCGTATTAAGGAGATGGCACCAAGAAAGACTCAGCGAGCATTAGATCTGGCGACAGAAAAGCATAGCATGGCTTACAGTGCTTCCCCTCCAGGATTTGGGCTTTAACTTGAATAAGAGGGAGTTTCGTGATGCTGTTAAACTACGCTACGACTGGCCAATGGAAAATATCCCCTCCACATGTGCTTGTGGGAAAGCCTTTACGGTTGATCACTCTATGATTTGCAAACTAGGAGGTTTTATTACTCAACGCCATAACGAGCTAAGAGATCTCGAAACTGAATTTCTGAGTATGGTGTGTAGCGATGTCGAAATCGAGCCAGTACTTCAAGACATCTCCGGCGAACATTTAAACAGAGGATCTAACAAAGCTCAGGATGCGACGTTAGATATCCACGCGCGTGGTTTCTGGGAACGACATCGATCAGCATTCTTCGACGTGAGGGTCTGTCACCCTAATGCTGCATCGTATAGGGACCTAGAGCGACAACAAATTTATCGTATCCATGAGAACGAGAAAAAGCGTCTCTACTCAAGGAGAGTTCTGGACATCGAGCATGGAACATTTACACCTTTGGTCTTCACCACGACTGGCGGAATGGGAAAGGAGTGCTTGATGCATCATAGCCGTTTAGCACAGCTGATTGCCAACAAAAGAGGAAAGTAGTATGCCAAAACCATCTCATGGATCAGAACCAGAACCTCATTCGCACTCTTGAGATCTGCGTTGGTTTGTCTTAGAGGCTCTAGGACAAGAAGAGTGCCATGTGACATTAGGAATGTTGATATTGACGTTGAAGTTGTTGAAGGAGCCATTCAATCGCACTATTAATGTGTTTCCTTACTTTTAAATGGCAAATATTCGTCAATAACGCATTGAGAACGCTATTTAATTTTCCTCTTTTTTTAAGTGATTTTCTTATTAGGAATGCAATCGACCTTGAAAACAGTTTCTTTAAAAAAAATTAAAATGGATTGTTTTAATTAAAATGAAATGTTTAATTAAATGAATTTTTTCTAATCAAAACTAAGTGCTTTTTTTTAAACGAAAGGAATTGTAAATAGTGTTTTGACGGAATAGTTTTTTTAAGTGAATTAATTGCAAATAGGATTTTAATAGTTAGCATTGTTATCAATAAAATATGATCAATAGTAATAACAATAATAAGAATAATGGAAAAATAAATATACTTACTATCTTCCTCACTGGTGTTAACTTGTACCATGATATTAAGAGGATTTTGCTTGTTCTGCTTACCCCATGAGGAGCTTAGTGCACTTGCAAGCTTTGCACTGTCTACAGTCTCCACCATAAAAAGATTGGGTACACCTAAATATTAAACAAATAACAAGACTACTACTATGTGCCATACATATGTTTGCAATTTTTTGCAACTTTTCCATTGATCAGCAAAAATAAGTTTTCCCAAAAAAATTACCGCAAACATTTTTTCTGTAAAAAATTTACTCGAGATTAAATTTCTTCCAACTTAAATTCGATCAACAAAACAGCCAGCCACCGCAGGTATTATTGTAATCCAATGGTAAAGAGCAGTAATCTGTTTTACTGGTTTTACATAGGAAACGCACACCATAGTATTGTTTTAAAAGATGTAATTCCATTCCACCTACTCAGTAAAAAAGAAACTATTATCAATAGCTTACTAACAATTGCAAAAGTTAATTCCCAGCAAGAAAACCAGTCTGTCCTAATCACAAAAATTAGTTTCCGCAAAACACAAAAAATCGTCAAACTGCATGAATAAACTCCCGCAAAAATTTCACGCTTCACGGTACTACTGTCAGTTAAGTAAACCTGCTGAAAAGCAAGTTAGCCTTAACACAACAATAATCAGCAATTATTGACTGAGGCTGAGTAGGATATGAAGAATTTTGCAGCCCGACGAGGCCGAAGGCTGAAGTGGATAACACCCTCCCAGATCTGGAGAATTCTTCATATCCTACGACGAAAGCCGAATTCAATAATTGTTCTATTACTCCTTCAAAATAATTCCAAGTTTAAAAACCAGCTAAGACATGCTAACCTTGGTCGATGTAAGTTCATATAGATAATGCATCTTTATCGGGAAGTTTAGGAGATTAAGGTCTGCTCACGTCTGCAAGCAGATGTTGTGCGTCGACTTGTCTTGTTGCGATGTTTTTTGACAATATTTCGCCGTGAAACGAGTAAAATGTTCCGTGACAGTTCCACCATTTTGTTCTAACTACCAAAACAACTCAACCTCATCCCCAGGTTTTCTCGGTCAATGGTTCAATAACCTGCAAGCAGGCCGCACTTTTGACGTCATTTTGACGTTATCGGTTCAATATGACAAAATTTTTTCAACATTTGGCCAGCAGCAGGTGGTTATGGTAAATAATGCGTTTGGTTTTAGCCGATCAGAAAGGGGAAATATTTTGAATGAATAATAATAAAATTTGTAGGAGCTCATAACTCTGAGTGGAACAGGATCCGCTGATCATTGTAATTTAAGAACAAGCAGTGGCTTTTGTAGTATCGCAAGCGGCTCATACGGGCCACTTGGTATACACGCTAGGAACTCTGGGACAACGTAAAGCTCGGTTGCTAAGGTCATTGAAAGCATGGTGGACATGTACACCAAGTTATTGACATATTGATCTATTAAATTGGCGACGAGAACG